TTGCCGAGCAGAAAGTCTTTGAGACAAGTTAGCCAACAGTGTGCTTGGCAGGGAGAAAGTTCAGGCTGCGCAGCTGGGTGTGGACAGAGCACCCTTGGCCAGGCTGGCTCTGGGGTGGCCAGGCAAGGCTGAGAGAGTCTAACAGAGGAACTGCGTGGTGGGCTGCTGCTCTGGCTTTACCCTAATACTGTTATCCTAATACTTTTCAATTTCCATCACAAGATAACTCTGCTTCTTACATTTCAGAGAAAACTCTGTCTATCCCAGAAGAGTCCTATTTCTTATAAGGAGACTCAGCTACCTAAACAATATCAGGTATTTTCCTCTTGGCAGTTACCTGGAAGAAGAGAAGAACTTTGGGAGAGGTGACAAAATGTACACCCCCTGCCTTCGTATATGTGTAATCTGCTCATGCACATTTGCACTACTGAAAACTCTTCTTGAAAATGGAAGTACCTCATAGGAAGAAGTACACTGTAGAAGAATTAAGCTTATTTCATAGATTCAGAAACAAGATGGAGGGCTATGGAGACAGCTCAAGTGTAAGGTCCTGAGTTCAATTCCCTGTTCAGCAAGAAAAAACAAAACAAGTTGGATAAACCTCAGGACTCACTAATGTATCAATGAGTATAGCCCTTTCACTGTAGACCAAGAGGGACCTAATGGTAAGGTGTTCTTTGTGTGCTAAAGGAGAATGAATCATACATTTTGAGGGCAAAACACAAGTGTGTGAATAAATCTCGCACGGTATGGTAATGAAAGAGCTCGGACACCCAAGAAAACACATTGGCTGAGTCCATTTGCTAACAAAACAGATATAGTCCTCAGTATTTTATGTCAGAAAACACAAGTGAGGTGTTGCTCAGCATTATTGATTCTTGACAACCCTGAGTGGAAGTAAGGAAGGACCACAGACCCGGAAGTGGCACAAAACGAGGTTCAAGGCTGAGGAGATAGCTCAGTGGTCTAAGCACCTGCCTGGCAAGTGCAAGGACCTGAGTTCGATCCCCAGTACTGCACTCTGTGCTGCCTGGTACTGGCCTGGCACACGCCTGTAATCCCAGCTCTGGGGAGGCTGAGACAGGAAGATCACTATGAGTCAGAACTGTGTGGCGAGACTCTGTATCAAATTCATAAATACAAAATAACATAACATTTAAAAACGAGGTTCAAATTCTGCACCGGCAACTGAGTAACTTAGCACAAATAACTTCCCCAACTTGTGTCTCGGATTTTTGCATCTATAAAAGGGACTAATGATACCTTCCTCCAAAGGTTGGTGTGAGAAGAGAGTGGAATGAGGTACATAAAGCGCCCCACAGCATGCGTAGGTGCAGTAATAAATGGTGACTATTATTATCCCCGCCCCATGCCTGATAGTAAACAAGGATCAGAGGAGAGATAGGCAAAGCACAGGCCAGAAGGAAGAGGAAGGACCAAACCAGGCTTGTGATCAAAGATGCGCGGAATCCGCCCGAATGCTGCACCCGGGAGAGCCACCTCTTTTCCTCCCGCTGCCCACACAGTTTCCCAAATATTGCTGCCTGCAAGTGTGGGCCAGCCCCGTGCAACCCACACGTTCTTTTCATTGTATCCACAGAGGCCTTGGCTGGAAGAACTGATGCTAATCTATAAATTAATTTGTACTTATGGTCACATAGTGGTTACCGGGGCAGCTCACTGGGTTACCCTCCTAGTGACATCAGCTGCATCTTCACTAGAGCTCTGTGGATAGACAAGACTTGAACACAGGCTGGTGGAATTTCACCTTATCCCGGATCAGGAAGGAGCCAGCCAAGGAGGAAAGTGGGAGAATCATACAAAAATGGTGGTGCTAAGATGAAGGCCTCAGAAACAAACCCCAGCCAGGGAGATCCCAGGGTGAAGAGATTTAGTTTTGCTCTCTGACAGCAGAATGAGGACACCAGCCAAACTGGCTTCAAAATGAAGAGGGAGGAGCCCTTCTAGGAGGTGCAGGCAGCAGGGAGGCCTGTGGCTCCCAAGAGATCAAAACAGAGAACTTTTTTTCCTAGTTTTAACTTCGAATTGCTAAGGATGTCCTCGGACATGCACACAGGGAATACGGTGTAGTAGTGATAGGGAGCCACCTGGGGCCCTGAGGATCTTGGGAGTGTCAGGCTGAAGAGGGGAAGCTGGAGCCCAGAGATGATGTGAGGCTTTGGAAAAGACCACGCTTATCTATACTGACAAATACCCGAAGCCAGAGTGGTGCTGATTCAGAGAGGAGGTTCTGGAAGACTGCTTGGGGATGGAAGCAGTCTCTGCCCTGGTTGAGGCGGTAACAGGGCAGTAACGAGGCCAGATGCATTGGTTAGAATCCCCTGAATTGTCCGATTGGGAAGGGTGCAATTTATTTTCTGCGTGTTATAAAGCAAAGTTGATTTTAAAGGGAAAATATGGTATCTTAGTCATAGAGGTTCCCCTGCCCTGGAAGACAAGTCTTACCCTCCCCCAGTTCTCCTTGCAGATTAATGCTCATTCAGTACTTAGCAGTTGGGGCCGAGTGCCTGCCTGGCAAGTGCAAGGTCCTGAGTTCGATCCCCAGTACTGCATACCATGCTGCAGCTCAGAACTCTGGGTGTGGAGGTGCACGCCTGTAATCCCAGCAGCTGGGGAGGCTGAGACAGGAGGATCGCCATGAGTCTGAGCTGCGTAGCAAGACCTTGAATCCAAAACAAAAGTACTTGACAGTTAGTGGAGCATTTACTCCTTGTTGATCACTGCACCCACTCTATGAGGCAAGCATGTTTAACCCACATTATAGATGAGACAACAGCACCAAGCAGCTGCAGCAATGGCCTAAGTCTTTTACCTCAGAGCCCTATTGCCCCGCCCTTGCCAGGATCTCCGTAGGAAATGCCCTTGGAGACCACACAGGACTAGAAGAAGCAGAACCCAGGGTATAAGTAACGACACAGCTGTGCCGCTGCTTCAAGGCGGAGACCGAAACTGAAGGCAACCAACATAAGGAAGAAATGTCCGAGTGGAACTGTGCTGCGTGGGGGAGAAGGGCCTTCGCTTCCCTGTGTGAGACTCTCAGACCCACGTAGAGGGCTGAGCAAAAACAAAGGCAGGGCTTCTTTCCAGAGCTGCCGTCTCCCCTGCGCGCAACACTGTGCACCCCCGCCACCTCTGGGGTCCCCAGGGTCTTCTAACTTTAACAAACTACAGCAAGAGGCACAGGCATTACCTCACCACAGTCTGGCTTATTTCCTAGCGGCGATTGTCCAAGCCTTGCTCCTTCCCCCCTTTCCGCTGGCTTTGCACCCTTTGCCCATTCCTCCCTGCTGAAATCACAGAGCTCTAACCCCAGAGAGCGAGTGAGCTAGCTAGCAAGCTTCTCCTCCTCCTCCTCCTCCTCCTCCTCCTCCTCCTCCTCCTCCTCCTCCTCTTCCTCCTCCTCCTCCCCTTCCTTCTCCTCCTCCTCTTTGCCCCTAAATCCCTTAACATCAGAACAGAGGCCCCTGGAATCACATGCCCCTTCTGCACACAGAATCTAAAACTCTGTGTGCAGGGGCTAGAGAGAAAACACATAACAGTGTGTATTAGGGGGTCCTGAAAGCAGCCACGGAGTGAGTGGAGATTAACCAGGGTGGGGGCAGACACAAGTTGTGAGAGGGGGTGAGAGCTCTATGTCACTTAGTATCTTTCTGTTCAACACAAATTTTTTTAAAAAGTGAATTTTCTAACAGTATTACATGGATAGATTTATTTATGTATACCAATAAAGACGGACTAGGCCAAGAAAGTATGGTCCAAGTTTCTTTGCGGCAGGTATTTTATATGTATGTCTGTGTAAGAAAGAGTGAAAATTAATTCATAAATAAATGAACAACTGTAATTCACCACTTTCCCTCCTTTAGTGACGAAAAGATGCAACAACTTTAAGGAGGGGAGGCGGTGGATAAGCCTCCCAAAAAGGATGAAGTAGAAGAGTGGTAGGAGGGAGGAGCCACAGGAGGGGAGCCTTCAGGGGCACCTCTTACCCCCTGGGGTCACTGTCTCTGCACTGGCTGTGGAGTTCACTCCTGCTTGCCCCTTAGCCATCTGTGGGCAAGCTTCAGGCCCAGGGCAAGACATTCTTCAGATTGATGTGTTGAGAGTGGGGACTATTTTAGGGGGCGCTTCCGGAGTTCAAGGCGTGTACAGCACAGACTGAACCAACATTTGTAATGTGGTCTATAAGTAAGGCTGTCTCCAAGAAGACCGGAAGGTCCTGGCAGACACCACCAGACAGGACTCAGGGAGCTGCCAGCACCCTCCTTCCCAGCCACCTGGGCCTGGATCCTTCCCCAGATCTCCATATTGGCGGCACCGCGAGGTGCAAACGCCCTCTCGTGTTTACCTAGACCTTCCCTACCGGTGGCCTGTACCTGCGCTCCTGCCTTGGCTCCCGGACTACTCTGGGCCGGCAGTCAAACTGGTCTCCACACCACTCCCGAGTGCTCCTCCGGGCGCCCCGCCCGCAGGCCCTTGCTCTTTGACGCCTCTGCCAACCCCGGCCTGAGGACCGGTTCAGGCCGGCTTCTCCCCAGACTCCCCCAGTGCACCCCGCGAGCTGGCCTCGTCCTCCTCCCACCTCCCCACCGCCCCCGGCTGCTCTCTTTAAGAGTTGCACCCGCTTGCTTTATGGTCGGCCAGGCCTCGCGCCAGGGGACCGAGGCTCCCCTCACCACTGTCTTTCTTGTTATCTGTCACAGGTGCAAGGTCTGCACCAACGCAGCAGGAGGAATACAGGGGTAGGACCCGGGCGGATGACGCCTAGATTGGGGTTAAGATCCTAGTTGAGAAAAGTCGATGACCGGTCCCACCCACCAGGCGGCGCCTGCAGTCTCATTCCTTCGGGGCGCCTCCAGGTTTTCAAGTTTGGTACCTGTCTGACCAGTTTTCTTCTTGCCCTCCTGTCCCTTTAAGAAGGTGAACCAGGTGAGGCCGAGGCCCCGCCCCCAGCGCCGGCCCCGCCCCCGGCCGCCCCGCTCCTTCTGTGCCTCGCGACCCGGCCCAGCCGTCGGGACCCAGGTCCCAGGTCCCGGCCGGCGCCATGGAGCGGCGCTGGGCCCGGGGGCTCGGGCTGCTGCTGCTGCTCTGCGCCCCTCTGCGCCCGGGGGCGCGCGCCGAGGAAGGTACGGACCCCCGCCCGCCTGCCCGCGCCCCTCCGCGAGCCGCGCACCGGGGCAGGCCCTGCGCCCCGCCGCCGTCCTTCCGCTCCCCGACCGGCCAGGCCGATCTTTGCTCTTTAACCCCACGCGGCTGCTCTCGCGGGTCGGTCACCCGGCCTCTGCTGGCCAGCACGTTTTGCTTGGGGGGTAGGAGTGCCGGATCACCGTGGTGAGAAGCTGCACACTCCCCACCCAGCCCGGGCCGCCGGGGCCCTGCATCCCCAGGCAGCGAGGTCGAAGCCCGCCCTAATTCGAGGTGGAAGCCACCTTCTGCCAACCTAGGCCCGGCGACAGGGTGACCTGCCATCGAGGAGAAGGGTTAGAACTCGAGATCCAGGGCTTTCTATATGTAGGGGGTCAAACTTTGCACCTATGGGCTCCCACGGAGCCCCCCACTTCCCAAACCCTGCGTCCCTTATTTCCAGTTCGGAACTGGGCCTTGTACCACCCAGCCACAGACCTTAGACAGTGGAAGTCAACCTGTGCTCCCTTCCAGGGTCCTGCCAAGGACCGGCAGAGCCCAACCTCTGCCACCAACCCCCACTTCAGCTCTGCAGAAGATGGAGTGCCAGTGCCATGCGGCCTTCCTCGGGTCCGAGTGCAGTCGTCGCTCCCGGGGCTGCTGGACCCATGACTCTAGCCTTGACTCTGGTCAAAGCGCCAGCGCTCCAAAGCTTGCCACACTCTGCCCGGCTCCTGCCCTCTTCAGACCCTGTAATCCCTAGAGCTGTGCACTCCTTGCTGCCCTCCTGCTCCCCAAAGCCTCTATGTCACAGATGTTAGGAAGAGGATGTGGAAGCTGGGACTGGGGCCCGGTATGAGGAATGTGGGTTGCCTGGATACCTCCTCCCCCAGAGGTGACAGGCAGGCTCCTTTCCTCCCCTCCCTCAGTCACGCTGATAGACACCAGCAAGGCACAAGGAGAGCTGGGCTGGCTGCTGGACCCCCCAGAGGATGGGGTAAGTGTTGGGAGGAAGGATCTGGCTCAAGGATGAAGGCCAGTGGGAACTGGGGCGGAGAGGTGGGTGGAGGAACAGAAAAGAGCAGGAAAAACTGGAAGTGTCTCCTCCTGGAGGGGGAGGGGAGGCTGAGTCAGTGCCTCCTGAATGGGATTTGGGGGGGTCAGACTTCACCCCATGGGGGATGCCTGAACCCCCTCTCCCTGGTGAATACTTGTGGGGGTGGGGTCAGGAGAGAATGACCCTGCTGGGAGAGAGAGCCTGGGTCTCAGTTCCTTTCATCCCAGTGGAGTTGCAAGGCTAGGTTTCAGGGGCCAGGGAGCCCCATAAAAATGTGTGCTAAATCACCTGTGGACACTTCTTGCTGGAGAGGAGAGCCAAAGCTTTCATCAAGTTCTTCAAACATTAAAAGCTGCTCCCCTCAGAGTGTCCGAGCCCTTGGTACAGTGTCACACCTCCCAGGTAGGCTCCCTGAGCAGCAGCCTACCGCTGTTGGAGGATGAAGAGCCTGCTCCATGTCCCTTATGTCCCCGGGCGTCCCTCAGACCTAGTGAGCAGAGGTCAGTTGTGGGTGGATCCAGAGAGCGTATTTGGACACGAAGTCCAGAGAACACCCTTGCTTGCCACTCAGCAGAGCTGGCCACAGAGCCACCAGAGCTGCCTCGGTGGACAGATTCAGTGGTCCCTGACCCTGCTTCCTGGGTGCTTCCTTCCCACCATCCCTCGGACTTCTTAGCCCAGCATTTTTCTCGTCAGAGTTACTTGCTTTCCTCTCCTCTGGGTCTGAGGGTCCTGGCTTCATTCTCTGATGTCCCAGAGTGGCCTGTAATTAAAGTTAATAGACTAAACCCTAACATATCCTCCAGAAGGGGCTGTTTAGAAAAGCTTAGATTAGGCCAGCCCTAATAGGTGCCCCATCTCATGAGGCACCTCATCACCCCACAACAATGGCTGTAGTTGCATCTTCTGGCTCTCACAGTCCTGGCCACCACACCCACATAGCTCTTCCTTAATTGGACCAGACAGAAAGGAACAACCCTTTCTCAATCTTGCTGACAAAATAGTCTTGCAGTCCGAGGGCAAAAAAACCCCCAGCACCCTCTACCCTGCTTGTCCCTTCCACCTTTTCCAAAACACACACACACACACACACACACACACACACAGAATCAAGCTGGCCAGGATGCCCCCCCCCCCCCAGTGTAACAGCTAGCAGTCCTAGAGTAGGGAGTGAAAGATTCTGAATGTCACTCTTGGCTGGCTGGTTCCCGCCATCTGTCACTGCTGGCACCAGGAGAAGCAGTTGCAGCTGGGAACATCTGCTTCTGTAGCTCCAGCTGCAGCCCTGGCAATCTGGCCACTGAGCTGCAGATTGACCACCCACCCACCTACCACCCTGTCCACCTGCCCCCGCCTGTGCCTTCTCCCAGGCCTGCTTGCTCACAGGTGCAGACTCTAGCGCTTTTCATGACAGCCCTGCTGCCCCTTGCCCCCTCTTTGAACTTGCAAACATAATACAGAAATATGTGTCTCACAGCAGGGTATATGTCTGCCCTACGCCATTAACCAAAGTTTTCATTCATGGTGCTTTTTTATGTCTTTATGCCAAGCTGAGGGTGGGCAAGGGTGTTCAATCACTGTAGTGAAATAAAAGCCCTGGGAAAGTGAGCCATCGTTTAGGACCACGGGTTCTTTAGGGCCATGGGGGTGGCCTCCAAAATATTAATGGGGTATTTTGCAAAATTTGACAGCTGTTTTCTTCAATTCATCTGGAGGGAAAAAAAAAAACTTAAGGAATGTGAATGTTTTTTAAGAAGAAATGATAGGCATATCCTACCAACAGATATTAGAACATCAACAAAAGCTAAAATACGTGCTGTTGGCAATCCTCGGGCCCATGGAATAGAACAAAAAAGTCCAAAAACGTCCCCTCATATGTGATATTTGTATATAGGTGACACTAGAATTACAAATCAATGTGGAAAGTATTGTAGTAAAAGACATTATTTGCTAAAATATAAAGTAGCCTACATAGTAACGCTGGTAAGATCCTGTTCATGTTTTTAAAAAACAGCAGAAGAGAACTCGTACATTTCCATAGAGGCATTGGAAGCAGTCTGTAGAACTTAACTCTGAGTAGCTAAGAATGACTGCCTCTGGGAGTAGTGTGGAAGGATGGTGGAACTTGCCCCTTTTATTCTGTGTGCATCTTTATTTCTTTGCTGTATAATTAATACAGAGAAGCGTAATGATTAAGAGCAGAAACTCTGGAGCCTGAAACACCTGGCTCCACAGCTCTGCTCCCCACAGCTGAGCAGGCCACGGCCACTGGGCAGGCTGCTCACCTTACCTCCTCAGGGAAAGCGCTTAGAATAGCTACTGGCCTTCAGTATCTGCTATACTAGTGCTTCCCCTTTTCACTAGGTTTTAAAATTCTTTTAATGTAAAAAGAGTTAAGGAGGGCCGACCCCATAGTGCCTGGGAGGCCAGCCAACTCTTTCAGTTGCTTTTGCTAATGGCTGGAAGGAAATAGTGGAGAAGGTGAGGGTACCCTGCTGTGAAGTTTAGTGCCTGATCTCTTGCCCTCCAAAAGTAAGGCTCCGCCTCTCTGTACAAAGAGACTGAGGAGATGGCTCAGTAGAACAAGTGCTTCCCTGGCAAGCACAAGGGCTTGAGTTCAATCCCCGGTTCTGCAAAAAAAAAAAAAAAAGGAGAGAGATTGAAGAGCTAGGGAGATAGCCTCAGTGGCATTAGGTCCTGAGTTCCATCCCTACTTCCAAAGAGACAGAAGAGTTTTGTGAATGAGCTTTGCCTTCGGGGCACCTGACACTTCTGCTGATGAATGGGGGTAAACTAGCACTTGTACTCTTGGAGATGGAGGGCTAACTAGGTGAAGGGGCTGTTTTTCTGCCCATCTTTTGTCCAAGTAAACCTGCAACCTCAAACACTTAACCTCTGATCGAGGGGCTGAGGGGTCAGGTTGGGCAGGTCCTCTTTATCAGCTCCAGTCCCTGATTCTGCTTATCTTCCCCAGTGGAGCGAGGTGCAACAGATGCTGAACGAGACACCCCTGTACATGTACCAGGACTGCCCGCTGCAGGAAAATGGAGACACAGACCACTGGCTCCGCTCCAACTGGATCTACCGGGGGGAGGAGCCCTCGCGCGTCCACGTAGAGCTGCAGTTCACCGTGCGTGACTGCAAGAGCTTCCCTGGGGGAGCCGGGCCTCTGGGCTGCAAGGAGACTTTCAACCTCCTGTACATGGAGAGCAACCAGGATGTGGGCATCCAGCTGCGGCGACCCCTGTTCCAAAAGGTGCCGGTGCCACCCAGTGTCATCACAGTCCCAACACTGTTTCCTGCCTGGCTGCTCACCATGACCCTGCTCAGCTAAGAAAATAACAAGGGTGGCAGAGACAGGAAGGAAGTGCAGGTGTAGAATAATGAAAAGAATGTGGGAGTAGAAACCAGAAAGGCTGGATCTGGGTGCCTACCGCTGAGGGCTCCGAGCTTTGGATCCCTTATCCAAAAAATAACAATCGTGCGTCCAGCCTTGTTGGCCCCAGAGGCTTTTGCTTGCATGCACTGAGATAACCAGATGCCATGCAAAGGAGGGAAGTGTGGTGTGGATGCATGCAGGCTTTTCTGTCAGCCACCTAGCTGGTGTTCATTTGTGACACGCACCATGGGCTTCGCAGCTAGAGCTCTATGGTAGGGCACTTCCCCGCCAGCAGTAACTAATACTATCCTTCTTGCTTACTCAGAAATCATCATACAGAAACGCAAAACAGTCCGGAGCCTATTGCTAGGGGCTGTGCTGCTCTCTTTTCTCTCCAAAGAGCAATTGTTGTAAAGTTTATTATTAGTAATAAATTAATTATGACACACTCTATAACCGATCACCTCCTTGCGGCAAGGCTAAGTAAGAGCTCCTCCCAATTGAAATTTTATGGATTATAAAGTCCCACTTCCTGGATTCCAGCCCTAGTCCTATCATGTCGTAGCTCTGTGATCTTATTACTTAATGTCTAGTTTCTCTTAGCCTCACTTTTCTCGTCTGGCCATAGAGACGATAAGGCGTCCTACCTCGCAGGACTGTTGCTTAGGCTAATGTAACACAGCCAAATGCTCCATCTGGTACCTTACACGTCGCAAGCCTTGTTGTAGCTGTGGCTGTCTAAATTGCACAGGTTAAGTGCCCCTTATCCAAAAGCTTACAGTTAGGAGCGTTTCTGATTTTTTTTCAGACTCTGCAATATCTGCCTTTGCAGAATGAGATGTTTGTAGCATAGGACCCAATTCTAACCGTGAAATTTGTATTTCACACACACCTTGAACACATAGCTGGAAGGTAATTTTACACAATGGGTTTTGTTTTCTTTTGTTTTGTTTACACAATGTTTTCGATGCACCTGTATTTTTACTGTGACCAGTCTCGCAAGGTCAGGTACCGTGTTTTCCATTTGTGGCATCAGGCCCTGAGTTTTAAGATTTGGGAGCAGTTCATTTCGGACTTTAGGGTTAGGGGTGTTAAATTCACCTACAGGCGGATGACTTTCCATCGCTTCCTCTCCTCCTCTCTTTCCTCCCAGGTGACCACGGTGGCTGCTGACCAGAGCTTCACCATCCGGGACCTCGCATCGGGCTCAGTGAAGCTGAATGTGGAGCGATGCTCCTTGGGGCTCCTGAGCCTCCGCGGCCTCTACCTCGCCTTCCACAACCCCGGTGCCTGTGTAGCCCTGGTGTCCGTGCGAGTGTTCTACCAACGCTGTCCTGAAACTGTGCATGGCTTGGCCCAGTTCCCTGACACCCTTCCTGGCCCCGGCAGTCTGGTTAAAGTGGCTGGGACTTGCCTGGCACATGCGCAGGTTGCCGCCGGGCCCTCGGGTGCACCCCTCATGCACTGCAGCCCTGATGGCCAGTGGTTGGTGCCGGTGGGCCAGTGCCTCTGTGAGCCTGGCTATGAGGAAGCCAGCGGCGGAGTGGGATGCACTGGTAAGGAGGGAGACTGGGAGACTCTCCCAGGACCGCTAAGGAAGGCCTCCTGGGAGCCAAGCCTGGAAGGACACCAGTGCTCCTGCGCATGCACAGGCCCTGTGTGCGCAGGAGCCCGGCGACGCCTGTGCGTCAGTGTCCAGCTGGGAGGGATGGGAGGGAAGGGGGCGTGGAGTTGAAAGCACGACTGGGCTCCTTTCTCTCTCCAGCCTGCCCTCAGGGCTCCTACCGCAGAGATCTAGGTGTACCCCATTGTCTCAAGTGTCCCCACCACAGCAGAGCTGATGTTGAGGGGGCCACCATCTGTACCTGTGAAAGCCACCACTACCGAGCCCCTGGGGAGGGCCACCAGGAGGCGTGCACACGTGAGTCCAAGGGACAGGCCCTGCGAGTCCGGGAGGAGGCACTGGATCTCTACTAAGCCCTCATGAGGGTCAGAGTTTTGGAGCTTATCAGATCCTGGATACTGCCCAGGGTGTCAAACAATTTCCTGCAGCCATGGTCCTGACCCCTACTCTCCTTGGAGAATGTAGAAATGTGTTCACACAGCTTTCTCTTCAGCAGAGGTCAGCTCTCCCATTAAAGCCTTCGAGGGACTTCGGAAACTGGGGCACTGGGTTGAGGGGTACAAGGAGTTCAGCAGCTTGGATGAGGGTGAAGCCGGCACCTCCTGATGGCTCTTCTTCTCCTCCAGGTCCCCCATCAGCTCCCCGCAACCTGAGCTTCTCTGTATCCGGGACTCAGCTCTCCCTGCGCTGGGAACCGCCCGCTGATAAGGGAGAACGCCAGGATGTCCAATACAGTGTGGAGTGTTCGAAGTGTCAGGGCACAGCACAAGATGGAGGACCTTGCCAGCCCTGTGGGATGGGGGTGTACTTCTCCCCAGGGGCCAGGGAGCTCACCACACCTGCTGTGAAGGTCGAAGGCCTTGAGCCCTATGCCAACTACACCTTCACTGTCAAATCCCTAAACGGAGTGTCTGGGTTGAGTACTTCCGGTCCAGCTGGTACCTCCCTCAGCATCAACATAGGCCATGCAGGTAGGCACAGGGTCCAAGCAACGGGCCTGAGACTGCTGGAGCCAGAGATGGGCAGAAAGCAGTTGAAACGCTCCTTAAGTTACTCTGTCTTTGCTCCCACCACGTCCATCTCTGTCCCTGTGGACTCCCAGAGTCACTGTCAAGCTTGTCTCTGAAGCTGGTGAAGAAAGAACCAAGGCAGCTGGAGCTGGCCTGGGCAGAGTCCCGGCCCCGCAGCCCAGGGGGGAACCTGAGCTATGAGCTGCATGTGCTGTACCAGGTTAGGAGGCTACAGGGGGCGTCCTCTGTGTCCATGGGGCTGGGCTGCAGAGGGGTGGGAACCAACAAAGAAGTCTGCAAAGAGCCCCAACCTTGCCACGATACCCGGCTTCTCTCCATGTGCTCCTCCCCCATCCTTCACCTCTACCGGACTTGGCTTGGCACAGCCCAGCTACCACAAATGTACCCCACAGGATAAAGAATGGTACCAAACGGTTCTCGAGCCCAGGGTCTTGCTCACAAAACTGCAGCCGGACACCACCTACATTGTCAGAGTGCGCACGAAGACCCCACTGGGCCCTGGCCCTTTCTCCCCTGACCACGAGTTTCGGACAAGTTCCCCTCCAGGTGGGTTTCTCCCTGTTCTGCCAAACACTGGTCACACAGAAGTACCTCAGCGCCTAACTCCAGTTGGGGCCGTTCCTCTTCTCTACTCCCATACACACACGTGCGCGTGCACACAAACCCCTCACCCTGGCATGGAGGACAGACATGTATCCGTCGCCCGCTGAGAGACCTGCCCCTGGGTGAACCCAGGACCCTGACTTAACTCCCATCACCCCTATGGGCTAAGAGTCCTTAAACTTCCTGACCACCCCTCTGCAGCTTCCAGGAGCCTGACTGGAGGAGAAATTGTGGCTGTCATCTTTGGGGTGCTGCTTGGCATAGCTCTGCTGCTTGGAATTTATGTCTGCCGTTCGAGGTGCTGGGTTCTGTCCCCTCCCTGCCCACCCGTCCTGGGACCCTTGGCCGGGGTGGAGGCCCCAAAGTAGTGCTTCCTGTGCCCTACCCAAACTTCCTCTAGCCATCCCACCCTCCTAGCCCCAGTTGTTTCTGGGGGAAATTCATTCACAGCCCTCTGGGTCACTGAAGTGGTCCTGGGACCCTGAACATGCTGTCCCACCCCTACAGGAGAGGACGGCAGCGGCAACAGAGGCAACGGGACCGAGCCACTGATGTTGATCGGGGTGAGCTGGGCACCTGAGTGTGTGTATGTGTGTGTGTGTGTGTGTGAGAGAGAGAGAGAGAGAGAGTGTGTGTGTGTGTGTGTGTGTGTGAGAGAGAGAGTGTGTGTGTGTGTGTGTGTGTGTGTTGTACTGGAAAGCGATCAAGGGACCCACATTTGCCAAATCTACTGGGGGTGCAGACCAGGTTTATTGTCCCTAGGGCTCTTGTGCTTTGCCTTCTAATTAACTTTGGTTAATTAACTCTGCCCTAATAGCCTGTCAGTGGCTCCGCTGTAATTATCTGCTGGCTGCTGGTGCTGCTGCAGGGCCGCCCTGGGCTCTGGGCAGCTCCCCGACCCCTCAGCCCTGGTGGCCAGGTCTGTGGACCTGGGCTGAGGCCCAGGCAGGACGGGGACTGATCTATTGTGAGGCATGTGGGTTTCCTGTCTGACACCTCATCAGGCAGCCCCGCAGGGAATGGGGTGAGACATGGTCTCTGGGGGATGGGGATCTGTTTGGATGCGAATGAGCTGTGACTGATGGGGGGCACAGAGTCCCAGTGTGGGTCTTGAGCCATAGAAAGACTGGGTAACTTGGACCAGGGAATTTGCTCCCTGGGCCTACATTCTGGCACACTGCTCCAGACCCCGGGAAAGAGGACAGGGGAACTCAGAGCATAAACAGGAAGAGAGACTGAGAGGTGGAGGCTTCATCTGCTAAGGATGGAGACCTACCCCTTGAGCCAAGGCAGAGTGCCTGCTGGAGACGAGAAGTATGGAGAAGCGTGACTCAGCTGTCCACACTTCCTCCTCGCTGCCCTCCACACTCCCCGGCCCTGAAATGGGTGCTGCCGTGGCTGAACTCCCATCCCTTGTCCTTCTCAGAAGACAAGCTGTGGCTAAAGCCTTACGTGGACCTCCAGGCTTACGAGGACCCTGCACAGGGAGCCCTCGACTTCACCCAGGAGCTGGACCCAGACTGGCTGATCGTGGACACTGTCATTGGGGAAGGTGAGCTCTACGTGCACCACAGCGGGTCCCTCGGTGGGGCAGCACAGAGCTTCCAGCAGACCCCTACCTTCTGGCCTTCCTTGGGGAGCCCAGCTGGCCTCTCCTCTGACCCCAGACTCCCAAGTGAGCCCGCACATGCTTTGCCCTGTATCTTCTTCTAAAAGTCCCACATCAGGAGCCCTGGGGCAGCCCCTGCCTCCTGCACACTCTGCTCTGTGGTTGTGGGGTTTCTGACAATGTTAAATACATAGTCTCTGAACATGCATGTGGTGCTGTCTGGCCCAGGCTGCTCTCAGACAGCTCCCCAGAGTGGCAGAGATTAAGAGCCTCCCAAGGCCAGCATTCCATGCCATCAGTGGCCCTGTGTCCTTGGGCTGCCCCGAGCCCTAAGGTCACCAGAGGAAATGGATCTGAGCAGAGAACAAAGCTTGGCAGTGTCCGTGCCAGTTGGTGAAGCCCACACCAGTTAAGCCATGGCCAGGGAGTATACAGAAGAGCGGCGGCGAGGGTCAGCCTCCCTGTCACTCGGACACTAGCCTTGGACTGACCCGCCCTTCACACACAGCCTGGGCTGTACAGGGCTCAGTATTTAGGCAGCACCTACTTCAGCTGAGCGCCACGCTGGAGTACGCGGCAGTCGGGGTGCACAGTGCATGCTGGTTCTTCAGTGTCCCTTCCCCAGGACAGACAGCCCAAGTCCACCCTCTTAAACCAGGAGGCAGGTCACAGGCACTCTATTCTTTTGATCTTCAGAGGGGAGGACTAGAGGACTCACAGGGGTCGCTGTCAGATTCATGGGCAGCCCAGTGGTGTTTTGGGTCACAACCCTGTTTTCTTTCCACCCAGGGGAGTTTGGAGAAGTTTATCAAGGGACTCTGAGCCTCCCCCGCCAAGACTGTAAAATTGTGGCCATTAAGACCTTGAAAGACACGTCCCCAGATGGCCAGTGGTGGAACTTCCTTCGCGAGGCCACTATCATGGGCCAGTTCAACCATCCCCACATTCTGCGCCTGGAAGGGGTCATCACAAAGAGTAGGAGCAGGGGCCTCTGAGAGTTGGGGGGCAGGGTGCAAGGGAAGAGGGAGAGGAGCCCACCCACTGGAAGCAGAGGGTGCGTTGCCAAGTGCAGAAAAGAGTGACGGCATGCGTTCTGCATCCCAGGAAAGCCCATCATGATCATCACAGAGTTTATGGAGAATGGAGCCCTAGATGCTTTCCTGAAGGTAAGGCACACAGCCAGCTGGGGAGAGTTCTGACCCTCGGGAAGGGGACACCTGGCTCTCCCCTGATGCGCTCACTCACACCCTGTAGGATCGCGAGGACCAGCTGAGCCCTGCGCAGCTGGTGGCCATGCTGCATGGAATAGCATCCGGCATGAACTACCTCAGTGACCACAATTACGTCCACCGGGACCTGGCTGCCAGGAACATCTTAGTGAGTCAGAACTTGTGCTGCAAAGTGTCCGACTTTGGCCTGACTCGCCTTTTAGATGACTTCGGCGGCACCTATGAAACTCAGGTTAGAGCCCCATACACATTCACATGCATCACCCCATGCCATTTCCAGGTACACATGCACACAGGGACTGGTGCTGTGGGTACAAGAATCTTCCGTGCCCTGCCCACAACTACTCCACTGACCTGTACCTCAGGCATCTCTCTCATGGCCCTGTGCCTTCATAGGGGGGTAAGATCCCAATCCGGTGGACAGCCCCTGAGGCCATTGCCCAGCGGATCTTCACCACAGCCAGTGATGTGTGGAGCTTTGGGATTGTGATGTGGGAGGTGCTAAGCTTCGGGGACAAGCCCTACGGGGACATGAGCAATCAGGAGGTAAGTCTGGAACAATCCTCCCCACCCCCACCCCCGCAAATGCCCCTTACTCAAGCCTCATCTCCTCCCACGCATAGCCCTTCTTTGCTTTCCGCAAATAACCCGATTTCAGAGGCTCCATGGCAATCACCTTGTGCTCATGTTGTTTACTCCAAGTGGGCTTCTGACCCTCGGGCATCTCTGTCCCCCCTGCAGGTCATGAAAAGCATCGAGGATGGGTACCGGCTGCCCCCTCCTGTGGACTGCCCTGCCCCTCTGTATGAACTCATGAAGGACTGCTGGGTGTACGATCGCACTCGCCGGCCCACCTTCGCCCAGCTGCAGGGACACCTGGAGAAATTGCTTGCCGACCCCTACTCCTTGAGGACGATTGCCAACTTCGATCCCAGGTCACCTTGTCTGGGGGAGAACAGGGAAACTCAGAGGTCAGATCTGGAAGCACCTGGACATAGGAGTGCATGAGGAGAATGTTCCAGTTAGTTCATGATTACCCACATTGCAGAAAATTACAGCCAGACCCCAGTCAGCTCATCCTGGAACCACTGCACTACATTATGGCCAGTCTTCCCTGGGCAGACTTTTGGCCCAGTCTGGGCCTTAGAATATACCTCCTCCCTGTGGAGCAGAGGTTCCTATATTCAGCAAATCTAGGTGGATCACTGGATCCAGCTTCAGTGATGGGCTGGGATCTGATGGGCCTACTGGTGGGATCTCTGGACACTGCCACTAGGGCAAGGTTCTGGTCTCCAAGGAGTGTGGGCACTGAGGTTGTGATGGGGATAAGAGGGGCCTGCCTTCCCCAGCCTTGGTGGCCCAGGGAAGACTGTCCCATCGCATAGCCAGCCAGGGAGCTGAGGGCTGGCAGACTGCAGATGCTGCAGTGTAAGAGGAGCATGCATCCAGTCCAGGCTAAAACTGAAGAAGCAGCGGGGCTCAGCACAGAGAAGCACCCCTCAGGTGGCACTTCCTGAGTGCGTGGAACCGACTCCCAGTTGCTCAGAACTGCCCATGGAACATAGCCAAAATGCAGTGCGTGAGTGGTAGGAACAAGAAAGGTAGGGAAGCCAGGCAAGGCTCTGCCTCAAGGGTTGTGTTGGGCAGAGCAGCCGGCCCTCCCAGCCTTGGTATCAAACCACCATACATAACCTTGTCTGGAAGAAAACACATTCCAGGTTCCAACTTCTGAAACTATCTTTTGGAGCACGACTCCCTCGCACGCTGGAGACTGCATGTGTTAATCTTTCTGGAATGCTGGCTATTTTTCCCCCAGTAGATTTATTTTGCTAATGGTTTTTGGCGCTGGCTGGCTCTAGTACAGGAACACTCATTGTGTTGTGGGTGTCCGAGTACAATAACAGCGGAGGTAGAAGGTGGCAAGTGGGGCTGCTCCCAGGATGCAGGGGCCACCCAAGAAAGGGCAGGCCCACACCCAGCTGCAAGGCCTCTGCCTCCTGCCTGCAGCTTCATCGCGGCCACCCACACTCGCCTGATGGGCTGGGATTCACTCCTCTCGGGGAGTCCCAGGGCGGCCACCTTCCCTCGACCTGTCAACATAGGGGGGACTGTCAGCAGTTGTTAAGTGCACCAGGAAACCAGCCAGGAAGTGGGTGCAGACAATGGCCAGCTCGTTCCACAAAGTCTGCTGGGGATCCAGCTTCAGTGCCCGCTGTGCTGTTTGGGTCAAGGCCAAAGCCAGCCAACCAGCCCTGCGCCTGTGCCTGCAGGTAACCGATGCTGCCTCCTATCCCACAGGGTGACTCTCCGGCTGCCCAGCCTGAGCGGCTCCGATGGAATCCCTTATCGAAGCGTCTCTGAGTGGCTCGAGTCCATCCGCATGAAGCGATACATCCTGCACTTCCGTTCAGCCGGGCTGGACACCATGGAGTGTGTGCTGGAGCTCACAGCCGAGTGCGGACCTGAAGCTGGGGTGTCTGGGTGTGAGGGGGTCTGGGGTCTGAGCCTCCAGGCTCAAAGCCTCCCTTCCTTTCTACAGGGACCTCACACAGATGGGAATTACTCTGCCTGGACACCAGAAGCGCATTCTTTGCAGTATTCAAGGGTTTAAGGACTAAGGGGGTCACATCAGGGAGAAGATGCCTGGGCACCCCCCCTCCTCAGGGAGCAAGGGCAGGGCCTCGGCTCCCCCGGGGCCCTTCCCCAACCTACAAGATGTAGGTGACTGGTGCTGCCCCTGCCCACCCTCCGGACTGTGCCTGTGGACTGGGAGGGAGCCTCTATTTTCAAAAGGGAGGTTGGTAGAAGTCAATGGGCAGATGGGCACTGGGGATGACTAATATAGCTGCATATACATATATATATATATATATATTTTTGTAAATAAAGAGGAACTGAGTTTGCATCCCTACCCTGATCATTCTGTCCCTCCCTCCTCCAAGGGCTGTAGACACAGTGAGCCAACCAAGGAAACTTATGGAAAACAAGGTTTTTTAATCTGTAGCTGTAGCCACAATCTGACAGCATGGGCAGGGTGGGTGTTGAGGCTCCCAGGGAGGTCAGCGCATCTCCCGACCCTCAGCAAGCAGAGTACGGAGGCTGCTTGGGGCCAGCCAAGGGCGTTTGTCGCGCAGTGAAAGCAGCAGCACTAAACTGGTGCCCCTCGGGTGGGGACCTGGAGGACGGCAGGCAGGCAATCCCTGCAGGCCGGGTGGGCCATGCCGGGGCCCTGGGTCGGGGCACTTGAGATACCAGGAGGGGTGTGGAATGGAGGAAGTCTGGGCAGGTGAAGGCGAGGGTGGGTCTCAGTGTGGGTGGTCGAGAGGACCTGTGGTAGGAAGCAGCCCTCACTCAGGTCTGGGCTCTGGCTCTGTGGCAATTCCGACAAAGCACATGGCCGTCCAGTGGGAAGCAGCCATTGTCGTCCGCCTCGATAGACAAGGGCTTCCCACAGTCCTGGGAGAAGGAAGGGTAAGAGGGTCACTGGGCCAGAAGGTCCCCCATTCCACCCTTCTGTCTCCGAGTGAGTCCCAAAGGCCACTTGCTCCATAGGGCTGAGCTGGTGCCCTGGTTGTGGTGTCTTCCCTGCCCCTGGCCTCTCCTGCAGTGGCTGAGGGTTGGTATACTGCTTTCAGTCACCCACTGCCCCCACCCATCCTATCTCAGCCCCAGCCTGACCTCTCTTCATAACCTCCCCAACTGCCCCCATCCAACGGCACAGTAAAACCACTCTTCCCTCCCACTGGCCAGTCCCTTAGCTTGTCCACAGCTCAGATGACCACCCCAGAAGCCAGAGGGACGGCTGACCTCACACTTGTAACACTTCATGTGGAAGTTCTTGTCTAGAGCAACTACTCGCACGGTCTCGTCACGGCCAGGCTCCGGCATGATAGGTTCTGCGCAGACAGAGCACCGCGGGGCATACCTCCTGGGGGTGCAAAGAGCAGGATGGGGGTCAGTGAGCACCTTGAGCCTCTGCTCCCTCTGGAGAGCCCAGGAAATGGGGCCGAGACCACCAGCCACATGGTAGAGTGCACTCTACCATGGTAGACCCTCCCCATCCCACACATCCAAGTAGAGTGCACTCAGGAGGAGAAACGCGACCGGCAGCCACTCAGCTTCCCAGGCTCCGGCGCTCACACCCAAGGTGTCCCTCTGGCTCCCGCCAGTCCTGCCCTCTCATGCAGGTTTTTCTGCCCTGACCCCCAGGCAGTGCAGGCAAGGCAGAGCCCACGCCATCCCAGGCACAAGCCTGAAAATGTACAACATACCATCCAAAGAACGAGGCAGGTTCTGCAGTTTTCCTGGCCTGGTCCTTCGCTAAAAGGTCTACTCAGCCTGAGAACCTGGCTGCCCTCTAAGTTTGATTACATTTAGTGAGAACCTAGTACCCCAAGATGAACTGCAGAAGCAGTGTGCTTCTGAAACAAAGTCATTCCAGCTGTGCCATGGGGCCCTGGACACACCCGGAGGCCACGGGCTGCAGGGGGTGGCAGGGTCACCCAGGTCTAGGGCCACCACAGAGCTAAGTACAGAGAAGTCCTTCCCCACAGTCACACACAGGATGTGGGGCCAGAAAGCAAGACCAGGAGTGTGGGACTGTCCCAGGCTAGAGGTGGCCTGCTCCCAGACAAAGCACCCATGGAAGGCCGAGAAAAGTCCTCACTTGTGGTAGTCAGGGACACAGTGGGGCCTGTTGTCCTGGTCCACGATGAAAGAGGTGCCCTCCAGGGGGCAGGCGCAGACCACGCAGGTGAAGCAGTGTGGGTGGTAGGCTTTGCCCGTGGCTCTCAGCATGCGGTCCGTGATGGACTGCCCACAAGTGTGGCACTTTTCCAAGGTATCCTGAGGAGGTGGCAGCAACGCATCAGTGGGCACCTGGGCCCCCAAGGGCCAGGTTTTGAGACCCGCCACGCCATCCCCACTGGGCTCCTCCCCCTGACCACTCACAGTGTAGCAGCTCTCACAGAACGGCGCCCCCTCCAGGCTGTAGAACTGCTGTCCCTGCAGCTGCTGCTCACACTGGTGGCAGGTGAAACAGGTGATGTGGAACAGCTGCCCCAGGGCTCGGACCGCAGGCTGTGAGCGTGCCAGAGGCTGATGGCACCGGCCGCAGGACTCTGGGAAAGCCACGGAAGGTCACCATCCACAGGAGGAAGAGATCTGTAGCTCAAGAGTACAGTGTCTCCGGGGCCAAGCGGGAGACTCACCCTTCACGGCCACGTTCTCAGCCACGTTCTGCCTCTGAGGATGCTCCATGTCCTGCATCAGCTTCTGAGTCAGCTCCTCCAGCTGCTCTACTTCCTTCAGGGTCAGAGGTCCCGGAGCCCCTGGAGAGCGCACCTGAAACGCCAACACTTTCATACTCTCCGAGGTCACGCCCTCCAAAAGCCTCCCAGGCCAGCCAACCACAGCCCCTTCTTCCACGAGGACTCAGCTCCTGCCTGCTTCCTAGGCGCTCAGCTTGCGGTTGCTCCTTCTCCCGCCCTGCCCAACCCCGACACACAACTGTGGGCTCGGTGCGACCTTAGCCTGCATGCCCTACAGAGCAAAAGAGAGAGGGCAGATGTCCACCTGCTTCGCCGCACTCCTGCCACGGATCCCCACGCCCACCCCCCCCCAGTCACAGGCCAGAACGACTGAGCAACGGAGACCACGCACGCACGCACGCACACAGCAGCTCAGCTCACTGAAGCCACTAAACACGCCAGGGCCACGAACCGATGCAACATCACAGAGCATGCTCGGACACAGCGCCCCCCAGAGGTGGAGTCGCAAGGCGTGCACGCAAGTGCACACACACCTACCCGGCCCGCCTGCAGCTGGGCAGCCCCTGTCAGCATGAGGATGCAACACAGGCAGAAGCACAGGTTAAACCCAGAGCTGTCTGCAGGGGCCCAACCCAGCCCCCAGGAGCACTCCTGAGCGAGGACTTCTGGTCTAGCCAACTCCAGGGGCTAAGCCAACCCATTGATACTTAAGAAACGCTGTGTGTGGAGACTGGGACTGGGGCAAGGGCACAAATTAGGGACCAGGCACTGCTGGAACCTGAACTTCAGCAGGGTCTGCCTCCACCTGCACAGGAATTCTGGGTGGGTCTCCTCCACTCCGAGACAAGGGTGATGACTGTAACACTTGAGTTTGTCCTGCCAAAGCCTTCACTCCTCCAACACCCGGGACCCCCAAAGCCTCTCTGCTACCTCCTACTCTGCCAGCAGCCCCTCTCACATACTCCACCCCACCCCATCCCGGCTCTGAGCAGCTCAGGTCCCTCGAGGCCAGCCTCCCCCAGATCTCCACGCTGTTCCCTAAGCATCCTGCCGTCTGTGACCTCTAAATGACAGGAGCTCCGGAATGCATATTTCGCTTTTTCCCTGCCAGGCTTTTGTGCTGGAATTTGGGGTCAGAAAAAGAGACCTGCCCTCCCAGCACCACTGAAAATGCCTGTTTGTTCTGTGACAGGACGAACTATGCATGTGCACCCCCCTCCCGAGGGCATCCATGTCCTTCACCCTACTATCAACCACTGTGTCCTCCCAGCCTGGTGACAGCTGTGTCATTGTTACCACAGCCACAACACTCAAGACTGCCAGCTCCTCAACTCTGATGGCTCCAAACTCCTCTCCTTCACAGCCATCTTCTATCTCAGGACACCTCGGACCTAAGATCTCCACTCTGCCCCCAGCCACCACCCCCCCCCCAAGTCCTCTGCATGACTCACGCCTGCTAAGTAACCCAGCAGCAGAGTTTTGGGGTCCTGACTCCCTGCGTTGCCCATGAACATGAAGCCCCCGGGCTAGCTCTTGGCTAGCTGTGTCTCCAGGGCTCCCACTGTCACTAGCGACATCTTCGCTCTCTGGCCAGGTCTGCAGCCCCAGGCACACCCCTGCCTGCTTCCTGTTTCTGCCTCCAAGCTGCAGAAAGTAGGTGGAGAAATCACAGAGCGCTGCAGCAAGCATGCACAAACCACTGCAGTGCCCTCTGCACCTCCAGCCCAGCCTGGCTGTCTGGTATTTGGCTGCAGCGGCAGATTCCCGGTCGCCTTTCCACAGCAGCTGTTCCTAACACTTCCCATGTCTCTGAGGCCCCAACAACTTCGCCCCCTCATCCTCAACGATGACTTCACCGCTTTGTGACTGAGAGGATGGCAGGCAGCCAGCGTAAGTTCCCACCTCATCTTTCCCATGCACACCTCCAGTGTGACCCTGTCCCCGCTCTGGACCCCTTCTGGGGTCAGTCAGTCCCTGCTCCTAGTCCCCTGCTTATTGCACACCTGGATTTCTACACTGAACATCACTTTCTCTCTCTGTGTCTGTCTCTCTCTGAGGCCATCCCTTATTGCTGCCAATCTTTGAAACTCGGCTACAATACCAACCCTACTCTCACCCAACTCCTTGTACTCTGCTCCCACACAGGGCACAAATGGGCCACCCAAGGCCATCATGATGTCCAGTGTCCTATCTCTGGCCTTACCACAGCTGAAGGGCTCCTCAGGACTGCAGCCCACTCCTCTCCATCTCTCAAGCCCTTCTGCTCCTTGCAGTACCTCCTTAGCCTCCCACCTCATCAACACAGCTGGACCCAAGCTCCTCCCAGGCCCTCAGCTCCCTTCTGCATGGCTGCAGGAAACCTGCCAGGTCCCACCACTGCCTCAGTGTCCCTGCAGCAGCCACCACATGCACATCTCTCCTCGGGCGCCAGGCCTGAATCCCAGCCCCACATTTTCAGCTGAATGACAGTCCCAGCTGACATCAAATGCCCTTGGAGCCTCTTGCTCAACGTGCTGACAGCTGGACCCTTCCCTTCCCTCTTCCCGTCCCAACCATTTCCCCTCCTGGACTTCTCCTTTTTGTGGGCAGAGCCATCACTCCTCAGCCACACCCAGGCTCTGAACATTCAGGGTCCTTTTCTTCCCCTCTCCTCCTCCCCCAGGCTGCTTATCAGTTGCCTCCTCCTGGAGGCCCTTCCTTTGTTACACTTCTTATCCCTGGGTTTTATTTTTCATTGCAACTAATGTTACTGTGGCCTGGAAGTGAACCCAGACATAGCACTGACCTCCTAAGCCCTAACGCATCTCTGTTGCAAAAGTGGTCCAGAAAGGTCCCAATGCCCTCCTGTCACACACAACTCAGAACATGTGCATGATCCTCCAATATGCACAAGCTCGGTGTGGATTTCACTTCCTGCTCCCTCAAGCTCTGCCCTCCCGAAGTCTATAGCTCTACAAGTTTCCCACAAAACCCTCAGCTTTCTGTTCTCCAAAACGTCCCCTGGTACATATGACCCTGGAGTACCACACGCCTAGCTCTAACCCACAAGCTACTCCCATCACAATGCTGTTCCCTCTCTGGATTCTTAGTCTTGCCCCTCATTCAAGCCTCACCAGCCTACACTAACTTGCTGGTCTCCCAGCCGGCTCCCTGTTCTGAGTTCCTGTAATTCACAAGATGCTGAGTTACAGGAACTGGCACTTGGCACTTCTTCCTCTACACAAACATTCTATGCACACAGAGACGCTCACAGGATCAGCTGGGCTGGACAGTTAGACCCCAACACCATTCTGGCCCATTCAACTGAAAGACCTTGTGCCTGAAGCAGATGCTAAGAGCCACTTTAGTTTGCTCCTTTCTATTTTCAGTATTTATGCAGCAGTAGAAAAACCAGCACTTTCTAAGCATTAGCTCACTCGCCCTTTATAACCACCGCACAGACAAACAGTGTGAGCTCCAGGGGAAAGAAACAGAGGCTCAAAGTTCACCTCAACGGCCTGGGTTTTAACAGCCTGTGCAAAGCTGAGCTAGGGATTCTATTCCAGGCCTGCAGGCTGCCGAAGCCTGAGCCTCTCTGACACCTCTCTTCCCTCTGTTGTCCCAGGCCAACGAGCTCAAGGCACAGAGCTGGCACTGGGCTGCTGCTGGCTTTGCCAGTACCCACTAGTCTATAGCTATTATGTCCAGTTGAGCCTTGGGTGCTGAAAGTGCTCTGGGAAACTGATGTTTTGATGAACTCAAAACCCAGGTATGGGAAAGGCCAAAGTTGGTCTGGTGACTTCATCCTCCCCTGGAACTGTTTTAGGACAAAGGTACAGGAAGTTAGAGCCTCCTAATTCACAGCCTCAGGTGCTCCATCCACTGAGTGGGCTCCACCTAACACAGATCTACCCATGCCTCGCCTCTGGGAAGGGCTTTTTCTGGGCTTGCTCCCACCAATCTAACCCTGCACTGTCCTAACCTGCCATGCCCACCCTGCCTCCAGGCCACCTTCACCTGTTTCTCGGCTCCTGAGCCCGATCCCAAGCCCTGGTCTCAGCCTCATCCTCATTTCTCACCTGGCTTTGGTTTTGGGTCAGATGGGGCGCTGGGTGCTGCTTCTCCTGAACTTGGGGCTTCTCCCTCTGCTGCACATAGGTAAAGCCGGGAGGCTGAGGGCAGCTCGTACCACTGGCAGGAGCTTCAGGAGACCCCAGTTTTTGAGTGGGCGGTGATCCAGGTCCACCTGGGGCTCCGGGGCTGAACTTGGAAGCCACAGGAGTGAACTTGGATGCCACTGGAGAGAACTTAGGGGCTGGAGTGGGAGCCACTGCTGGAGGACCCCGGGGCTGGGTGTTAGCGGAAGGCACAGGCGGGGCCTGGGGCTTGGCCTGGGGCTGGACATGGAACTGGACCTGGGGCTTGGGCTGGGATTGGACTTGGAACAGCGTCTGGCTCTGTGGCGGAGTCTGGGGTGCAGACTGGGCTGTAGAAGGCGCTTTCCAAGGTGGCAGGGGTGCTGTGCCCCCAGCTGCAGGCTTAGGACTGGGCTTGGGAACAACAACGGGTGGGGGCACATATCCGGAAGACACCTGGAGGAAATGGAGGTGGGTAGAGGAGTGCAGTTAGAGGCAGCGGTCTCCATGGTGCTGCCCTCTGGGCCACATTTCAAGCTGACCTGTCCCTTACCCGGGCTATGAAGGGGTCATTCTTGGTCATATCATCCAGCAGAGAGGACAGAGAGTCGATCTCCAAGTCAATGCTGCTCACCTTCTCCCTGGGCTGGAAGGTGGGGAGTCAGGGAGCCCATCCCTTCAGACTGACCAACTGGACTCCCGGCAGGGTAAGGGGCCAGAAAGGTAAGAACAAACAACCCCCTCCATTTTGGGGGTGTGCTAACTCGGCTGCCCTCTCTGGGCTCCATACCTGTGGTGGGAATTGGGTGGGGGCCTCAGGTCCTCCCTCCTCCTCCAGCGGGGGTGGCGGGGAGGGGAAGATGTCCTCCTCCAGGGGCGCAGGAGGAAACGGCTCCTCGATGGGGGGTGGCGGGGGTGGGAAGGCACCCCCCAGGGCACCCTCAGCGTCGTCGCTATCCCCGAGCACCGGGGGCGGGGGCAGGGGAAAGTCTCGGTAGAAAAGAGAAAGGGGACCATCTTTACTTTTCCCCAGGTCTCCTCCCTGTGCGCCTTTAACCCTCTACCCCGAAAGGCTCTTGGGGTCATGGAGAGAGCAAGGTAGAAAAGGCCAGGGCTCGGCCGAGGAGTGCAGCTCCCGTTACACTTCAGAGAGCGGGCTCCGGGCTCCGAGGGGACGATCCGGGGCCCACATTCCCGCCTCCACCCCGAGGCGGGAGCCTTGGATCGATCCCAGGAGCCCTGGCTCCCGGCCACGAGCTCCACGATGAGGTAAGAACATCTGCTCGGGACAGGGTGGCTGAGCCCAGCCCCCTCCGCCACCACCTTTCCAAGCAACCCCAACCCCCGAAGCCGGGTCCAACCTGCAAGCCCAGCCACGTACCTTCCGGGGGCGGCGGGGGAATCTCGCCCACCCGGCCCATCTGTGCGCGCTGGGCCCCGGCTGCCGCGGGAGACTCGCTGTCCCCAAGCCGGAAAGGATTCACTTTGGGCTTCGGGGCCACCACCGGGCCGAACTTCTTCTGCGGGGCGTAGAAAGCCGGAGCCGAGACAGAGACGGAGATCGCGGGGGGCGGGCGGGGGGCCGCCATGGCTGGGCGCGCTGCGGGAGGAGGGGGCGATTACGGCGCGCGGCTCGGGCCCGGGACCCCCGGCGACTCCGCCACCCTCTGGGGCGCCACTCACCGGCCGCCGGAGCGCGCGCGCCGCGTCTACTCAGGGCCGCGTCCGCGGACTGCGCGTACCGGTCAGGAGCAGCCTCCAGCCGGGCGGGGAGGGACGCAGAGAAAAGGGAGGGAGAGAGGAGGCGGGGAGAGCGCGGAGCCCAGACCATACAAGGAGCGGCCCGGAGAGGGGGCGGGGAGAGCGGGGAGGGCGGACGAGGCAGGAAACTCCCCCAGGAAGGGGCCCGGATCCTGCTCCCGGGCCCGAGGCTCTGCCGAGGTCCGCCTGCCGCCGCCCCAGTACCCGCCGCCCCCGCCGGGCACGGACCACTCCTCCCCAACTCAGGCCTCTGATGTCATTTCCTGACCTGCCCCCCTCCCGGCGGACGGCGAGCGCCGGAGATCTGACTCACCCTCCCCGCTCCGGGCTGAGTCGGAGGGTGGGCGCCCCGGAGGTGTGGAAGCCGCCTCGCCCCCTCCTCCCGGCCCGATCGTCCCTGCCCCCGGCTGCTTCTGCTCTGCGCCCGCGCGCCCCAGATGTCCTGGGATCCTGTGGGCTGCGAGACTCGGGCGGGGTGGGCGTGGATGGCGAGGGGGTGCCTGCTGTCCCCGCGCCGCTGTGGCTGGCCGGCGTGGGAGCCCGAACCTCGGCGTTCTCGGGGGCTGCTAACTTCCAGCGCCGGGCAGCCTTTGACGGCTTCCAGGAATTCGCGTCGCCCGAGCCCCAGCGCGGCGGGATGGAGGTGTGAGGACCAGGGAAGCAGACGGGGCGCGGGGGTGGGGAGGCTGGGACGACGCCGGGAGCTGCACGCAGGCACCCCCCGTGGCCTGCCAACTGAGGAGCGTTTGGGCAGTGGTGAGATCTGGGGGGTTCCAGCCCAGCGCTCGCTCGGTGGAGCCCCCCACTGGTCCGACCGGATTCCTCAGCCTGCAACTCTGAGCCTCAGGCTACACGAAAGAGACCAGTCCTGGATTCTTTTATTTACTTAGTATTTACTTTAATTACATATGGAAGCTTACCCTGTCGCTGCCCCAGTTCCCCCACAGCCACACGTGCAGTCAGGCATTCCGCACTCTATCCCCCGCCACCCGCGTTTCCCGTCCTCTCATCCGTCCTCCCTGACGGCTGACCAGCGTGACAGTTTTAGTCACCTATTCACCGTCAGCATGCTCTCCCGTCGCTGGCCCTTCACGGTGGACGGCTGCACCCCTCTCTCTTGAGAGGGTCTGGAACACGCGCGTTAGCGTCACAAAAACCGACCCCTTAAACTGACACACCAGACTCACACCACAGTCCCCTGGCCTGCACCCCGCTGGATAAAGCAACTTGCTGGGTGCAGCCTGGAAGTCCAACACTCCAGAGACTAAGGCAGGCATATTCTGGGAGTTACCAGCCAGCCTGGCCTAGGTAAAGAGACCTTGTCTCAGAAAAACAAACAAACAAAAAAAAGGTGTTCACCACCACGCCCCTTTTCATTGTATGGAGACATAAATGAAGTGCCTGATATCTAAAAGAGCCACGTAGCCCTCAGTATTAGTATTAGTCAGTTCCCCCTTCAGCCCAGACCTGAAACTCCAACCCAAGACACTTCCCTGCCAGACTGATCTCAGGGGCTTAGTCTCTACCGTGCTCCACCTCTCTTCAGAGCAAATCTTTAATTATACCGAGTACATCTTTGCCTCTTCAGCCCCTGCTGTCTTTGTCTTCTCTGGCATCTTACCATCTCTGTCACGGCTATTTCAGCCCCAGCTCATGCGCCCTGTGTGATACAAGGTGTGCAGTGCATAATGCTGACACGCATCAGCCGGTCCTGGGCTTGTCTCTAGGATGATCTGTGAGAAATCTGATACTAGCTTTTCCTGAGCATGTCAGAGATTGTTTTCAGACTTCTTAAACCAAAAGCCTCAGCACCTTCCTTCCAAATGTGTCCTGGTATAGTGGCACAGGCCTGTACTCCCAGCACTTGGAAGGATGAGATAGGGGATTGCTTCAAGCTAGAGGACAGTCTGGGCTACAGAGAGAGTTCAAGGCCAGCCTGAACTACACAGTGAAATCCTGTCTTAAAAAAGAAAGAAAATCCTACTTAGTAAGATAGTTTCCAGATAACTTTTTCATAAAAGTCAAGGAAGATGTGTGGGAACATGTCTTTAATGCGAGCATTTAGGAGACTGAAGCAGGAGCACTGAAAGTTCAAGGCCAGCCTAGGCCATATAAGGCGTTCAAGGCCAAGCTAGGCTGTAATGTAACAGACTTTGTCTTGAAAAAGGAATAAAAGCCATCTACCGTTTAAAAGAATCAGTAACAAATAGACATGTGCAAAATAGAGTATGTGTAATTGTTAGGGAGCTGAACCTATTTATAAATCAAGAACAGAAGAGTGCGTGGGTAGGTTCAGTTTTACTGACAACTAAGCATTTGAGATGCAGAACATGAAAAGTAAGAGTTTCTAAGTCAGCCCTTCTAAATACAAGTAGAAACACCCGGGATTTCCCAGGGTGTCGCAGGAGGCACTTTCCAGTCAGTGCTATTAAAACGTAGCCAGACCGTGAGCAGAACTGCCTTGACCATCTTCGGGTATTTTCCTTAACCAGACAAGTCCTGTTGGGATCCTGGGCCGGCCAGTGTGGGGAATCACACCCAGCATCTTGGGAGAAGACCAGGAAGAGTGAACAGAAGGAACTCTGACCCTGGCTGCTCAGGAAAACATCTCTAGACACCTCCAAGGACTTACAGCCACCAAGTACCCAAGCCTGATTCATGATGCATCGCATAAAGTGACAAGTTGAAAGTGCTATTGGAAGAAAAGTGAATTCAGGAGGTAAATAGGGCTGCCATCCGGAGGTCCTCTCTACACCTTGCTTCTAGCTGACAAGGGACCCGCACTCACTGGGCCAGTTCCAGCCACCCGTGGCTTGGCAATTGCACAGCCTCAGGCAGGGCTGGGGCTTGGTGCTCCTGAGAGCACACAGGGAGGCTCAGGGTTCCACTCTGGGTCCTGGAACAGAGCAGCACACAGGCAGGGACTGGGCTGTAGGCCTCCAGGCCCAGTGCTGAGCCCTGAATGTGTTACTCCATTAGACCTTGCAGTCAAGCTGCTCCGAGAACACCCATTTTCACTGTTTCTCATTTGAGTAAGCTGAGGCTTACTGGATATTAGATTTTCACCACCTAAAAGACACGATTTGGGGGCAATAGAAAAATTTTGTTCCTTTAAACTTTTCTGCCCACTCGCTTGGGCTGCTGCCCTTCCCTACACGTGGCGAGGCTGTGACTCCTGCTGCTCCTCCAGCCCTCCAGCCTGACCTGGTCTGGCCAGCCCTCTGCACCCCTTCTTTTTTTTTTTTTAATATATCATGACTTTTTTTTTTTTTTTTTTTTTTTTTGAGACAGGGCCTCACTATGCCGTTCAGGCTCGCCTTGTTCTGCAGAGAGCCTCCTGACTCAATCTCCTGAGTGCTGGGATTACAGGTGGGCACCACCATGCCAGGTTCTGGAGCCATACGGTGGGCTCCCCACATCCAGGGCCAAGACCTCCAGGCATGTGGGGTCAGGGATGGAACTTGAGTCCTTGTGTTTGCCAGGTCAGTGCTTATGCCTCTGAGCTATCTCTCCGGCCCTATTTTGTTTATTTCTTGTGGTACTTACTACATGATGGACTATTACTCAGCTATTTAAAAAAAAGGTAAACTTGAGGCTTTTATAGGTAAAATGGATGCAACTAGAGACCATACTCCTAAGTGAAATAAATCAGACCCATATGTGTAAACATCATATTGTCTCCCTTGTGCGTAAGAACTTGAAAGGGTAAATAAAATCCAAGTTGTACAACAGATTCTGTGAAAGAGAAAGAAACAACCAGGATGAGGGAAAGGACAAAAGAAGGAAGGAAAGGGAAAACATATATGTATATAGACAGGCTAGATGAGACAGCTGCATTGCTGATTTCTACTAGTCTGTTGAAAGGAACAGTTCATGCTTAAATTGTTTTTGATTTTTAGACGAGGTCTCGTCATGTAGTTCAACAGCCTGATCTTGAACCTATTAGGTAGCCCAGGCTGGTCTGAACTTGTGGCAGCCTTCCTGCCTCAGCCTCCTGAGCGCTGGGATTACAGGCATGCACTAGCATGCCGGGTTTCCTCAGCCTTTGAATTCTATCTCCAACTGAACCCCCTTATTTATATCCGTGGACCATTGTTTACCCCTCTTTCTCAAGATGCCAACATATTCTGTCTGTCTGCCTGAGTATGCATGTATATATCTATGCATGTACACATACACATGTTCTGTATGTGAGTTCTGTGTGTGCATACGTAAGAGAATATTTTCAGATTTCTCAAAAAAGAAAATTGTTAACAGGAGTTGGGTATGGTGGCAGATACCTTTAATCCCAGCACTTGGGAGACTGAAGCAGGAGGACAATGATTTTGAGACTAGCCTGGGCTACCTAGGGGGACCCTGTCTCAAACTACCATCACTGCCCAGCCCCCCAAATTTCTTTATTTATCTTTGGTCCTGAGGACTGGCTCAGGGCCTTCCCATAGGGCTACATCTTTATAAATTTTTTTTTTTTAATTTTCAGACAAATTCTCATTAAATCATTAAAGTGGGGCTGGGGAGTTAGCTCAGTGGAATAAGTGCTTTCCTGGCAAGTACAGGTTCCTGAGTTCAATTCCTGGTTCCGCAAAAAAAAAAAAAAAAAATCTTTGGGCCGGGGAGATAGCTCAGTAGGATAAGCGCTTGCCTGGCAAATGCAAGGATCTGAGTTCAATCCCCGGTTCTACCAAAAAAAAAAAAAAAATCATTAAAGTGGCCAAGCTAGATTTAAACTTGGAGTCTTCCTGCCTCAGCCTCCCAGATAGCTGGGATTACAGGGATGAACTAGCACATTCGTTAGCTTGAGGGAATAAAAGTGTGGGTGATGAAAGGCTTTTGTAGTGTTGTGGCTTCTTCTGTGAGCATGTGCTGCTTTTATTTTATTTTTATTTTTATTTTTTTATTTTTATGTGTGTGTGTGTGGCCAGCTCAGCCCACCAGGGGGCGGGGCTGGCTGACATGTGGTGCTGTGGGATTGAACCGCGGTCCCCGTGCTTTGCCAAGCTTGCTTTAAGTAGGTGCTTTAGACCACTGAGCCATCTCACCAGCCCCCTTTTATTTTATTTTATTTGTTTATTTATTTTTGGTATTTTAGGGAAGGGTCTACAGGGTGTTCAGGGTCTCACTACTAGGTCAGACTCATAGTGATCCACCTGTTGGGATTACAGGCACATG